TTGAATCGATAAAAGCAGAGTATGTTATTAGTTGCTTTCCCCTTTTCTGCTTGAAATATTTAGAAGTATTATAGATGTAGTCTTGAAATGAGATTTGCTCCTCTGGAATACATGTTGGAATGCACTGGAAAAGTTTTTTGTTACTATCACTCTTGCTTAAAATGAATACTAGAGAATTCACTTTACTTTTTATACATGTATGGGGCTCGGTTTAGCTCATGTGGCTTTCCCTTACTCGAAATGCATGCTATGAGAAAATTTATTTAATTTGGAAAGTTCTGTAGCTTGTTTTGAGGGCTTAATTTAGCTCCTCGTGAGGCATCCTGCTCAAATATCTGTTGAAAATTGTTTCATGCTTGGAATAGTTAGGTTGGTGGCCCAAATATGTTCTCTATGTTGTTGTTCTTATTTAAGATGTATATTGACTTCATATCTTGATGTTTCAAAGGCATGCGGGTTGTTCCTTGGCTTTGGATGACTCGATTTTACCTCAAGATGGCTAGAGTTTTAATTTTTTATTGAGACTGGGCTTTTGGTTTTTGTTGAAGCTTTGTTCTAATTGCTCAAACTTTACTTCTGGACCTTGAAGGGTTCGGTTTGGCTTTGTTTGGGGGTTCGGTTTGCTGGCCTTAGCTTCTATCGAGAGGTTGTTTTGGGTGTTTGTTCCTGCCCCTGCTCAAGAGTTGCAGGAGGGTTCAATTTTATTCGCTTTAACCCCTATTTGGGGCTCGATTTTGCTTTGTCTTGCCCCTACCCGAAAGGTGGCTTTGGTTGGGATTTTTGTTGGCTCCAGCTAGGAGCTCGGTTTGCTTTGTCTTGCCCTTACCCGAGAAGCGGTTTGAGAGTGGTTTTGCTGACCATAGCTCCTACCCGTAAAACCTATTGGAGTTTGTTGAATTTAATTTAACCCCTCTTGTTGGGCTTGGATCATTTGAATGATTGTAGGTGGATCAAACTTGTTACTTTGAGAGATTGGTGATGTTTTGTACCCTCTTATGTATATCAAAACTTTTAGGGAATTGTTTTGAGCCCTGGACCGTGAGCCCTACTTGTTGTGCCTTGGGTTGGCTGTGGTTGTGGGTCTTAGCGGCTGCTCCTTGCTGCCCTGAACCGTGAGCCTTAACAGTTCTTTTCTGGGCCCTTTTATTGCCTTAGCGTGAGTTTTCTCTCCTTCAGTGCCTCGGGTTGCCTTGGCCGTGAGCCACTTTTAGCCTTGGGTTGCTTTAGCTGCTGCTTCTTCTTTTCTACTAACCCCGGTCGTGAGCATTTATTTGGTTTGTGGGAAGATTTCATGCTCATTTGATGTATGAGGCTATCTATTAATTCGAAAGTTGGAGAATTTTGATTTCAGCATGAGTTTGAAAATATTAGTGGTGATTTCCCCGAGATCATTTTCTTTTTAAAGTTTGGGAGACTTTAAATCTTATTTTGGAAAAGTATTTGGTTGAGACGAATTAATTTCATAAAAGATGTCATTAGGGTTTGGATACCGGTTGATACCGGCGTTAGGAGGTCATTTTGACTCGGGTTGGTCCAATTTTAAAAAAAGTGAGAAAGTGATATCCATTACGAATTGATTCAGGGATTTTTGGGTCTTCCTTTTCGAAACTTTTTGTCACGAGCTTTGAGAGTGGATTCATCCTTCGTTCTTTTCGATGTTTTAGGTAAATCAGTCCCTATCAGTGTCTCCTCTCTCTCACCCCATTTTTGTTCTTTTCTTTTTCTTGCTTCTTGGTTCGGTTTCCGATGCTTATATTTGATGCATAAGTGTCCGCAAGTAGTCGTTTTGGGGTGTACGGTGGTGATGATAAAGACACACCGAAGATAGAATAAAAAAATGTCCTATCCTATAACATCAAGATCCATGTATTTGATGAACAATAAGATAACGGTATCCTTCACCGACATAAGTCTAGCGGGAGTTGGGATCAAACCTCCTCAGGTGATTGACAGTCCCACGCCCGACAACGTAATCGACTTGTGGACAATAAAAATTGTTAAAATCTGTTTCAAAAAAAAAAATTTCTTTTCTATAAAACAAAATTTGATAATTTTTCGAGACCTATGTGCATCTCAAAAATATAAATTTTTAAAAAATACATTTTTAAAATTGATTGTTCACCTGACGAATACTTGTTTAGGCTGGGAAATAACCCTCTAAGTGAGGTTCAAGACAAACTTCTAGACGAGTGGCGGGTTCTATACATTCGGGTGACCGAGTAGCCTTCGCGGACCCTCGAGTATAAATATATATTTGAGTCTAGCCCCATACGAGTGCTTGCGGTCCCCGTCACCCGAACTTTTTTTGTTTTATCGAAGCTTTGGGACAGGGCACTCGTGTTACTTTTCCTTTCTTTCAGGATTTCTCCAAGATTTTTGAGGATTTTTTTTTCTTTTCTTTTACTTGAGTCTTTTCTCGTTAATTTTCTAGAGTTTTCTGTCATGAGTCGTTGTTACACTCTTCTTCGGATTTCCTGAACGACGTTTCTTCCAGAATTTGCTTTTTGCGATGCATTTAGACTTACTATACTTAAGGAACAGCGGATCTCACGGGCGTAGATGTTTGCTTTACATTTTACAGCACTTCATTTTCCTGTTTCTACCTGCTACTGTTCTTTCTGTACAACAAGTTATATTATTCATGTTTCTGTTTGCTACTATACCATACAACATGTTATATTATTCCTGTTTCTGTCTGCTACTGTTCTTCCTGTACAACATGTTATACTATTCATGTTTCTACCTGCTACTGTTCTACATGCATCCTATTGTTTGTCCCGTATTGCACATTTTATATTATATAGCTTTAAGCATGCCCTCTTTTTATATAAGACGTTTAGAGAACTATTATCATAGGGTCGTTTGATTCAATATCATAACTGGACACCTTAAAAAACTTAAACTCGTCACGTCTAGGAGCTTGGAGCTAGCGCGGTGGGCAGCACGACCATCTTTAACAGCAGAAAATATCTTCCCCAGCTAAACCATTCTTTTCCTAGAAATTAAACAACAAGCCATAGGATTTCGAGGTAGTCTGCTTAGCGCGACATAAATCCTCACTTTATCTGTTAGGCTTTTGCACAGCCAAACTGTGCAGTTTAAGCCCTAACTCGTTCTAGGTTCCGAGGTTGTCGTCTGATACGACGTAAACCCTCATATCTTCTAGGCGACTTGTGTGACCGTGTCACGCAAATATAAGCCCTAATTAAATAAAATTG